CCCGGTGGGTGCTCAGGGCTGCCCCGGCAGCAGGAAGCTGCCCACGGGCTCCGACGGGCCAGGGAGGGGGGAAACCGAAAGCAACGGGAGCCACCTCCTCCCACGCCCTCACCCTGCGCCGCGGTGGAGCCGGAGGTGTCACGGCCGCCATGCCGCCCGGCCGAGGAGGGCTCGGGGGTTCGGCCGAGCTCCCGCACCGGCTCCGGGCACCTCATCCGAAGCTGCCAGCGAGGGATTTTTTGGGGGGTGAAGGTCGGCAGCCCGGCTTCTCCTGCCCTGGCCTCTCCACCAGGCGAAGCGGGACGGCTGCCGAAACGCTAACGAGGCTTTTTCACGTTGACTTCTGGGACCCGGTGGGCTGTCCTGCAGCACCCATGGAGAGGGGAGCAGGTCGCGGTTTCCCCCGTGGTGCCACCCCCTCAGGCTCCCCTCTCCTTCCCCTCTCAGGCCGACAAACGGGCTCATCACAACGCTCTGGAGCGCAAGCGCAGGGACCACATCAAGGACAGCTTCCACAGCCTGCGGGACTCCGTCCCCTCCCTCCAAGGAGAGAAGGTGAGTTTATGGAGCGTGGTGGGAGCCCGGCCACGCGCCCACCCGGGGTCCCGGCCCACAGCACTGAGGCTGGACAGGGATTTCCACGGCACCGACAAGAAGCCACGTCAGCGGGGCTGAGCCACGGTTCCTTGCCCGCGGGGCCTGCCGAGTGGCATTCCTGGGGGCAGATCGTGCACCCCAGCCCAGCCCCGGCCTCCGGCACCACCTGGTTTTTTGGGAAGACGGAGGGGGTGAATCCGCCTCGGGCGGCTGGATCTTCCAGGCTTGGCCACGGGGCAGCTCTGCCCGTTGGGGATACCGGTGCTTTGCTTGGCGGCGGTGGGGCTGTCGGCACCCTCGTGCGCGACAGTGGCTTCTTGTTTCGGGATGCCGCAGTGGGGGATGTTTTGGCTGGGGCCGGTGCTCTCAGTCCAAGACAAGCACTGTCAGCCGGGGTCCAGAAATGAGCCCTCCCGTTGCCAGCGAGGCTCTGCCTCACCGCGGGAGTCCCCGGTTGGGTCCCTGGAGAAGACGAGAGTTGGGCTTTGGTTTGCCCGGTGACATCAGCACAGCAGAGCAATGGCAAAATCCTTTCTGCTGTGCTGCAGGTGGGATGGGGCAGATGAAACCCTGCCGGTTCTGCCCCCCACACCCGGGCTAGGTCTTTATCTTGCCTCTGTCTTTTCCCACTATTGCAACAGGCATCCCGGGCCCAAATCCTGGACAAAGCCACAGAGTACATCCAGTACATGCGCCGGAAAAACCACACGCACCAGCAGGATATCGATGACCTCAAGCGGCAGAACGCTCTCCTGGAGCAGCAAGGTGAGGGGGTCCCGCAGGAGCCGGGCTCGGGAAGGGGGGGGTGACACGCGTGGCGGAGCCCCCGGGGGGGGTGACGCGGTGGCCCTGCCTTGCAGTGCGTGCGCTGGAGAAGGCCCGGTCGAGCGCCCAGCTGCAGGCTAACTACCCCTCGACGGACAACAGCCTCTACACCAACCCCAAGGGCAGCACCATCTCCGCCTTCGACGGCGGCTCCGACTCCAGCTCCGATTCGGAGCCCGACGAGCCGCAGAGCAGGAAGAAGCTGCGCATGGAGGCCAGTTAGGCCCCCCCGCGGCCCCCCGCCCGCCCGCCGGCTGCGTAAGGACTCTCTCCCTTCTCTCGTAGAGGCTCTCGGACTGCAGCTTCCCAGCCCTCCCCGGCCCTTTTCCCCGCTCTAACCACAACGGCCCCGGGAGGAGCCGGCCGGGCAGGGCCTCGCAGCGCCCACCCGACAGACTTGGAGGGGGATGTGGGGGCCGCGAGGAGACGTCCCCGCCGCCCTCCCACAACTAGCGAGCCCCTCTCCCCTCTGATTTTATATGAGCATTTCTATTTATACCCGGGGACCACGGCAGTCCTGAGCTGAAGGGTGAGGCTGTGCAGGTGCCGGGCAGCGCCCTCCCCCCCTGCCTCCCTGTGCCCCCCCCAAAAGGCTGGGCCCTGCAGGGAGCTGCACCTGCCCCACCCCGCCCCCCGGCAAGCGCTGGGGGTCTCGCTATTTATTTTCTGCGTGTGCAATTCCACCTGCCCCCAGCGCCTGCGAGAGCCGGGGGGGCAGCGCCCACAGCCCTCCCTCCACGGGCTGCAGAGCCGGAGGGGGGGCCCAGGCTGGGTGGTCTGCGTGTGCATCCTGCCCCCCCTCTTCCTTTCCTCCCTCGGCCCTCCAAAACACCTCCCCCGGCCCCATCCCACCTCCGTGGCGTTTTCTGAACTCTAGTGTCCCGTCCCTGCCCCGTAGGTGACCCCATCCCCTGTCCCCATTTCAATGCCATTCATTCCATGGATCTAAGGTATGTTGTACATACTGCCCAGAGTTGTCTTGCAAGTTAAGGCTTCCCTTTACTATAAGACTATAAATAATAAAAAAAAAAAAAACTTATTTTATCCTTCCCCGTGGTAGCCGCGTGTTTTTGGGCGGGAGGGCACCAGGGCAGCTCCTGGCACAGGCTGGAAACAGCCGGAGCTCGGTGTCACCTCCTGCCCTGCGTCCCCAGGGTCACCATCGGTGGGCACGGAGGCAATGGCAGCTCCGTGCCCTCCCTGCGCACAGGAGACGGCAGGTGTCGGTTCTGGTTTATTGATGCCAAAAGCTCTGCCGCATCCCGTGTCCCCCTCGGCCAGCTTGGCTCCTGCCGGGAGGGCAGCCAGATGCCCGGCCCGGTGGCAGCAGGACCTGACGGCCGCGGGGCAGGCCGGTTTTTGGTATTGCTAGCACCCTGAGGACCTCGCTCTGCCCGTCCGCGCCGAGATGCCACGGCAGCTCCCCACCGGACCCGGGCAGGGCTGCTCCACACAGTCTGGGGGCAGCGGGGCCCCTAGTTGGCAGCGGCCGCCGGCTCCAGGCTGGGCACAGGCTGCTGCAAGAAGTGCATCACTGCTCTCGCCACCTTTTCTGGGGTGATGTTGTAGACGGGGTGCGTGGCCTGCTGTGAGAGAGAGGGAGAGAGGAGTTTATTGCTTTTTCTGGTGTTCTGGAGGACAGGCAGAAGCCAGGCAGCTCATGGCAATGCCCGGCAACCTACCAGGCGGTTCTCGGGGCCGCCCAGGACCACCTCGTGGTGGAGGTCGCCGCTGCCGAAGTGCTGGGCGATGGCCAGCCCGCTCAGGCAGTAGCAGGTGTGGTAGAAATCTCGGGACCTGGCGGGGGGGGGGATATTGGGGTGCTGAGCAGGGGGCTGGGGCACCAGGCAGCCCCCCAACCCCCACCCCAAGCTGATACTCACTTGCCCGGCTTATCGAGCAGCCCCCCGGCCGGGCACTGGCAGCACAGGAGGATGTATTCCTGCAACGCCAACTGGTGAAACATCCAGCGTTCCATGCTGAGCGCCGTGTCGCCTGGAGGGGGAAGCTGGTGAAATGCCTGGTGCCCGGGGGTCCCAGGGAGGTAGCAAACCACCACCACCACCCCCCCGGAGCCTTCCCGCACATCCCAGGGAACCACCAAGGCCTTGGCCCAGCAGACAGTCGAGCCTCGCTGCCAAAAAGCCCATGGGGAAGCACGAGTCGCCCACCCCCGAGAACGGATGATGAGGACGCCCGAGTTACTCTGCGCTTTGTTCCCTCGTGAAAACACTTTCCTCCCTTCCCGGAGATGCTGTTTTGGGGGCAGACGAAGCTGGGACACCCCACCACCCACAGCCGACTCACCCCTGGCGTGCAGAGCACGGTGGAGCAGGGGCAGGAGGCCGGCTTGCCAGAAGGAGTAGCAGCCGTCCACCAGCTTGTTGCAGCGGCCCTGGAAGCCGCCCTCGAAGCACATCTGCCGGCTGGTCACCCAGCGCTGTGGGGGACGGACAGGAGCGGGTGCCAGCGTGAGGATGGGGACCTCCCTGGCACCGCCAACCTGCCGTGACCCATCCCAGCTAAGCGCCGAGGGGCTGCGGGCATGGTGCCGCTCACCAGCAAGCTCCGGAGGTTCAGCAGATGTTCCTTCTTGAGGATGACCAAGGCCGCCATACCGCAGAAGGTGTACCCGCCGTGGGCCTCCATGCCCGGCACCCCACCGATGCCGCCCTCCCAATTCTGGCACCTGCGCGCAGGCGGCGGGGTCAGGACGTCGCTGATGCACGGGGCCGTCCCCTGTCCCCCACCCGTCCCCCGCGTACGCCAGCTCTCACCTCGCTATCCACTCGGCCGTCCCGGCAAAGAGTGCCGGAGTGAGGATGTTGGTCAGCGAGGCCACGGAGGCGGCACAGTAGGCGCTCCTGGGGGAGACGGGCGCTCAGGGCCGTGGCACCGGCTCCCCTGCCGTGGCACCCAGCCGTTTTTCCCCCCACAGCCCCGCGCGCTCGCCCACCTGACGTCCACCTCGCCGCCGACATGCATGAGGAAGGAGCCGTCGGGCTGCTTCAGCAAGTGCAGGTACTCCAGCAGCTTCTTCCTGCAAGAGCCAGCGAGCTGCGAGAAGCTGGGGGGGGGGACACACACGCATCCTGCCTCCCCCCGGCCCCGCGCCAGCTGGCCGAGCCCCCCCACACACACCTTCAAGGCGCCGGCCATACCTGTCGATGACGCCGAATGCCTCCTCTGTGCCGATGATGCAGAGCGCGTTGACGGCGGCGTAGGTGGGGGCGAGGTGGGGGTGCTGGCCGGGCCCCCCCCCAAAGCCACCCTGGGGGCTCTGGCAGCGGCTCAGGAACTGGCAGACGCTATGGGGGGGTGTGAGGAAAAGGGAGCTCAGCACTCCCCAGCCTCACCGCTGGCACCCGGTGGGTTGATATTTCCCACCTGGGCGAGGGAGACCCCCCTCACCCCTGCCCACAGCAGGGGCTCCATGGCTGGCGGCGGGACAGGGGCCAGCCGAGCCCCATTAAACCCCCCTTCCCCCCCCCCCCCCGAAGATCAAAGCCAAGGGTTATCTCTCTCCCTCGCTCTCTCTCCCCTGTCTCCATCCATCACGAGATGCTGGCTGGAAGAATAGGCGGCATTGACGGCCGCGGGGGAGAGACAAAGCGTTCCTTTGCTCCCGGGGACAGCGGGAGGTGGCACCTCCGGCATCACACGGGTGGCCGGCGGGGGGGTCCCCAGGCTGCTGTTACCCTCCCCCCCTCCGGCTCTCGCCGGTGCCACTTACTCGGAGGCAACTGACTGGGGAATGGGCTCGTCCAGCAGCTCCAAGCTGTGCAGGATCCAGTAGCAGAGCCAGGGCCGGCTGGCGTCCAGACACTGCGGGGAGACCAGAGGGGACAGTCAGGGTGGCTGGGGAGCAGTGGGGGGCCTGGGGGTGCAGGCAGGAGCAGGCAGAGCTCTTGCAGGAGAGGGTACAGGCAGGAGACACCCCCCACTCCCCCGCCTCGAGCTGCTGCTGCTGCCCCAGAGCATCACCACAGGGACAAACGCGACCCAAGGGGACATTAGGAACCTCTGCCCCAGGGCCGGCAGCGACGGAATCGGGGC